CATCTAGCTGATGTGTAATACAGGGTGAATCGAAGTTACTCAATATTTATGAAACTGCAAAAATCCTTTACCCTTTATGCGTTGCACCTGTCACCTTGTTGAGTTTACATTTCCGCAGTCTGGTATCTGTCGTACAAAGAATCGAATAGTTATCTTGCAGCTCAAGAAAGTTCTTGCTCGATAGGTTACAAATTATAAAAGTTTGCATGAACAAATAAGACGAAAAAGACACACAAGGTACGAGTAAATCGTTGTAATAGTCGCAGGGTTCCCTGATATTTGTACTTTTGCTGTTTATAGCCTAGTGTTTGTTTATTTGTGTCAAGCTGATCTGCTAATATTTATTGGTAGAATTATTTTCGTCCCTTTGCCTTTGCCAAAATACGACCGAATGTTTAACCAAGCGTGTCATTTTGAAAGCAACAGAACTGCGACTGAAGGGCTGCTGAATTGCTGAACTTCGTTCATCTGCAACAGCTCCTCTGTGCCATGGAGAACTAACCATGTTAAATAGACAGAAGAATAAAAGTGGCATGTGGCAGGTTTTGGAAGACTAAGAATGTCCCTGTGATTGGAACGGAAAGTTTTCACTCAGTGGGTGTTCTTAGTGCTATGCCTGCCACACGTGAACCGTGAGCCTGGAAGCTATGAAGAGTCACCAACTGAAGACTATGCGCGCAGCAGGGAAAGGTGTTCACAATAACACGCAAAGATAGGAAAGCGAATGAATGGAAAAGATGACGAAAGGGTCTGCAATGCCTTTGCCCGAGTGAAGAAATGAAATTAGCATCGGGCACGAAACTTTACGAAAAGAACCGATCATCTCCGGACCAGAGATACATCAAACTGAGTTCTAAGAGGCAACATCCGGCCCGTCAGGAAGGTCTCGAAATCGATGCTAAATGAGCTGATGAATTTCGCTGAATGAAAAAGGGTGAGATTATCAGAAAACAGAGGTTTGTGGCAAAATCGCCCAGCAGTGAATCGAACAAGGCTGATGATGATGGCTTCGGTAAAACTTCGTAGCAGCTATCTCTATTTGCTCAATATTAATTATTTCATGCCACTGATGTTGATGTTCTCGGACATAGTCTGGACTTGTCTTGCGTCAGTTGTTATCATATTCAACACAAACATCATCATTGATCGCAGCAGCATCACAATCAGTATCGTCATAATCATCTTCTTTCCTCTTCGCCTTATCCTCCGCACCGTATTCATTACAATCATCATAATTATTCTCATAAGCATTATTATCGTGATCCCTATCGTTGCCGTCATCATAAACTTTCTCATCTTCTTGTTCTCCTAATTGTTTATCATCATGCACATTCAGCATCAACGTCATAGGTCACTTTGACGTTTTCTCATAACTTTGCGTCTTTTCTCATAACTTTGCGTCTCATAACTTTGCGTCTCATAACTTTTCTCATAACTTTGCGTCTTTTCCAAGAGGATACTTCTTTCTTCTTTGTCGCACAATCTTTCGTCGGTCTACGGCTGTGAATTGCATGTAGTGATATTGCAATCAGGCCATGGTTGAGGTAGAAGGGAACACATAATTTGGGAGGAAAGCTTTTACGAGACTCGAATGTATACACAGGCAAGAGCTGCCGAAGCACTTCCTTCCCTCCTTCGACTCCGTTTCCCTTCGGCACTACTCGGACAAGTCCTTTTATACAAGTACTTGTTCATCGTCAATGACCAGTCTGCGTTAACCAGCTGGCACGTTTTATCAAGGGGCGCTGATAAGAATATCAAGCCGTTACGCAGACGGACCAATCGATGCATACATGTATACATACTGTTTGTTCTGTTACGCGAGCGCGAATATTTTTGGGGATTCATATGCATATTTCGTCTCCCCTTTGATAGACCCACACTTTTTAGCGTTTCCGGGAGGAGGAGGGGTGCTTAACATCTTACAGAGGTTGTCCATCTCCCTGTCTGTTTCTTGGGCCAGATCGACTGCCACCTCCTAATCGTTGGTGGCTGTTGCAATGTGAATGGAGATGAAACGTGTCCAAACCGCAAATGATGCAACGAATGGCATTCATTGCTACCACCAAGCGCAAATCGGTGACTGGTGTTAGCTTCAATTGGCTGAAAACCTAAAACCACTGAGTAAAAACAAAGAAAATAGGAGATTTGGTGCAGTTGTTTGACGACCTAAAATATTTACTTTGTTAGGGCCTACTTTCACTCATACCTTTTCTGAAAATTGAATATGCCAGTAGACTGCGCTCGGTCATCGCATCGCAATCGCCTGAACACTCTTGGCCGCTTATGCAATAATAATTGCTCTGTCGGCCCTTGATACTCGTTTCTAAAACTGGTTTCTCGCGTTAACACCGAGCCAGTCGACAAGGCGAACATGGCGGCATGGAGCGGAAGAAAAGTATGGCAGCCGTCATCACGTTACAACGAGTTTTATTCCGCTTCTGATTGACTCAGCGGCCTTTGCCTCTTGATATTTTGACATCTTCACTCGTCTCTAAGTTATCGAGGTCCCTTCCTTCAAGAAATTGACCCAGACCATCGACAGTGATGTAAACAACTTCGTTGGAAAGCTGCAAAAGCGACCCCCCCCCTCATTAGGCGTTGCCACGGTTGTCTAGCCTTGTCGCGTCCGACTTGTCGGACTGTCGCTCG